CTCCAGGGCCGTCGACTCTGCCCAAGCCCCCTGGTGGGGGGATGACTCAGAGGCCACCATCGGTCCACTCAGCCAGAACCCCAGACGGTCAAGTTTAAAACCCAGAGCACAGCGGGGGGTCCTGCTGGTGGGGAGAGCAGGTCCCAGACTCAAGAGCACCGTCTGTGCCGAGCCTCGGCCACCAGGGCTTCCCAGGGTGGGTCTGTGGTTCGCAGTTCAGGTCTCCAGCCGGGGGCCTTGGTGCGCCCCGCAGCGGCCAGCGTTCGTGGGGACGTCAGGTGTTTCCAGCACCTGCTGTGGCCAGGCCGCTGCTCGCCTGTGTTTTTGGTCTGTCGGGAGCAGCAGAAAATCAAACAGGTGATCTAACTACACTAACCCCGGCAAGTGGTCAGGACAGGCTTCCCGGAAGAAGGGACAAGTCACAGCATCTGGGCAAATGTCCCCATAAGGATCCTCAAGAGAGTGGGGCCCAGAGTAGCAGGCAGGGACAGATCAAGGGACATCTTGGAACGTGTGGCCACAGCAGATGGGAATCTTGGAGTGGCATTTCACTTAGTTGTCCTTGTCACAATATTTGTCATTCATTGCCTGCGTGGGCCCCGCCCCCCGCAGATGCTGGTGTTCATTCTCACTTAGCTGGCAAGGGACCGAGCTCGGCTCAAACCCAGGACCCCAGCCCTACTGCACCGTGCCTGCTTCAGCCGCCGAGCTCTCTACCCCGTGCACAGCTCCGGAAAGAACAAAGCTGCTTACACCAGCTTGAGGGAGGCCCAAGGCCTGGCACTGTCACGTCCTGCATGCCACTCAGGGGCCAGTGGTCACCAAGCAGAACCTGTTCCAGCATTTAGTTTGAGATACGGGGATGACTTCCACACGCAGTCCCTGTGCTCGGGGCAGCAGGCCTCACCCCCGTGGCACCGTGTGGCCGTTCACCTGTGAGGAGGCAGCCAGAGAGGGTTTAGACGAGAACAGAGGTCAGCAGACTGCACCTGTTTCTGTAAATAAAGTTTTATTGGAATATAGCCACTCCTGTTCACTTACACATCGTCTGCAGCTTCTGTCCTGCTACAGAGACCGAATAGCTGCCGAAGCCTAAAATGTTTGCAGTCTGACCCTTTATGGGGAAGGTCTGCCAACCCTTAGACTAGAATACTGGGCCTTCTCCGTATGTGTTGATATAGAAAACTCTGCATGGTATATCATTAAGAGGAAAAAGTAAGGTGCATAGGAAATTTCTATTCTGAGAAATAGCTACAAGAAATATATAAGCATTATAAATACACACAGCTGTGTATACATATATGCAATGGATAGCTCCAGAAAGATAGAGTAAAAAATGATAGCCGTGGTTTCCGGCAGGACCAGGGTAGGGAGATGCACTTTTTACACATTTATCTCTGTGTGCTTTTGATCTTGCACCACTTCCTGTTACCTATTCAAAAACACATGAAGTAATACAGTTCAAGAAGTATATTGAGGCTGAAGAGCTAAGATGGAGGAAGGAATATATTATGCTTTATGTTCTTTGCCTTTTAGAGGAAGATGGAGCTACTCTTTTTCTATTTGAGTGGTATTTTCATAATAGACTCTGGGAGGAAACCTGTGAGGGAAGCTCAGAATTGTCGGTTATAGTTAAATGGAAAGAAGGTTTCGGTTGAACCGTAAAAGCAGAAAGGGTTAGGGCACAGCGGAAGGTGCTTTCAATCCAAGTATTTCTTCATCTCCAGCCAAGGGATCTTGCCCCTGAGACGTGCCAGCCAGTGAGCCTCTGCCCTTGGAGGAGGCCTGGTCTGGAATGATGGAACAGTGGCCGACACTCAGTGCCATCCATGCGGTCCCCCCGTCCCCCCGTCTTACAACAGTTTAAAATTGTTTCTCCAGAAAGTTCAGACACTGTCAATTGTTTAACCCATTTCCCCACCCACCAAAAAGCCACTGTTTGCCTCAGTGAAATGGAATTATTAAATGGAATTATCTTGGGGGGGCTGGTCTTTACATTTTTGCAGACACTCCCCCAATGGTACAAATGCTTTCGAAAGCAGCCCCGGCTTGCACGCTGGAGCACCGGGCCTGCTTTTCAAATCACAGCGGCCGAGCCCTGCCAAGTTACTATAACACTCATCTTTGGAGCTTGCATCTGAGCAAACGCATGTTTTTTTAAAACCCCCCTAGGTGGTTCTAAAGTACACCCTGGGCTGGGACCCCCTGCTTTCAATAGGCTAGAACAGATTCTGGCTGTGGAGTCAGACCTGAGTCTGAACAGCAACTCAGCCACCTGTCGTGAGACTCGGGCCCAGTTGTTTTCTGTAAGCTTTGGTTTCCACCTCTGTACGATGGGACGAAAGTGCTACCTGCCTCCCTGGTTGGTGGATTACGAGAGCCGAGCGAGCTGGTTTATGTGCCAGAGCAGCTGACTCAACTAGTCCCTTCCTGGCTGCCTCACTAACCCAGAGGTCCCGCTCCCCCACCCCAGTCCTGCTACTCGGCAGCTGGTGACACAGAACAAGGGACGTGACGTCTCTGAGCCTCAGTCTGCCCATCTGCAGGGTAGAGAGGATTGTACCCAACTCCACAGCTGCTGTGAGCACTCGGCTTCCCGAGACGGCGGCTCCCGCTGGGGCCTCTCTCTGGAGGCGGCAAGTCAGGGCTCAGATCATGAACAGGTGTGGCTTTTTACGCCACTCACATCTGCTGTTGCAGCGAGAGTGCAACTGTAGGCAACACAGGAGTGAATGGGTAGGGCCATGCTCCAATAAAACTATCTACAATTTTCATAGAAAAGGAAACAACGCCAGGATGAGACAGAGGGTGCAGAGGTTACGGCGGCAGGCTGGCCTTGGGTTCACACTGTCAGCCACCAAACCGTAGCGCTGTCCCCTGGGCTTCCTCATCTGAAAGAGGGAGTAATATTAGGACTTCAGCCCTGGCTTGGGGGAGGGTTTGATGAGTAAACGCACGTGAGGCCGCAAGGACCACGCCTTGGCCCATCTGCCTGCAACCCGTCGGGCCTCAGGGGTCTTGCTGGAGAAGGACCTGTCGGCCGGCCCTTCCCTCCTCGGCAGTGTTGAAGGGGGAGGGGCTCACAGCTGTGTTTTTTAAGAAGCTGTGTGAGCCTAACAGGTTACTTTGGGGACTTCCGTAGACTGGAATCTTCTCTTTCCAAGAGAAAGTAGTCTGTTTTGGGATCTGCCTCAAGGTTTCAGTTTGCTCGTGTGGCATTTAGCCCAAGGAGGATGTGTTCTTAGAAGTGCGTTGGGACATTCCTATACGCTACTGTAGGCTCCATAAACACCACAGGTGTAGGCTGTACTAACTTTATCAAAAAGGTTTTCTTCGATAATAAATTAACCTTAGCTTACTCTATAACTTTTAAATTTTGGTTTTTTACTTTTTAAACCAGCAGTCCCCAACCTTTTTGGGACTGGTTTAATGGAAGACAATTTTCCCACAGAGCAGGGGATTGGGGGCATAGTTTTGGGACGATTCAAGCTCATGACATCTACTGTGCAGACCTCCCTCTGCTAGCGCTGTGTGTCTGCAGCCGCTTCCCAGCGCTAGCATCTCCGCCTCAGCTCAGCAGGCGTGAGAGTCTCATAAGCAGGCGCAACCTGGAGCCCTGGCACGTGCTGTTTACAGTATGGGTTGTGCTCCTATGAGAATTGCATGCTGTTGATCATGTGCTCTTGGACTCAAACTGCGTGTTCAGGATCAGCCTCCGCTCCCTACTGGCTGCAGGACTTACCCACCCTGCTTTAATCTCCACCCCTGTAACGTCGGGAAAGGTACAGCACCCCGTTCATCAGGTTGGCATAAAAATACAAGCATGTGGATGGTGTTTCTAGACCAACACTCGACAAGCAGTGGTCTTCCATCCATCCAAAATCAGGTGCCTTTTAGTCAGGAGCTCCCCAGTTCAAACCAAGGGGCCGGAAACAGAAATCTTAGGGAGCACAGAGGTAGACTTGGATGCCCACGGGCCACCATCATGCAGTCCTGGGGCCCAGGCGTGAATTCAAAGGGGGTTTAGCCTGGTATGCTCTGGCTGACATTGTTCCTCCTGCTGCCCCACTGACTTGTACCTCCCTCCTGCTCCCCACTCTGCATTCACACCCGGGCCCAGAGCGACGCCCCTTCCACGCGGCAGGCAGTGGTCACATAAATGCACCCAGGTCATGGGACTGCCCTGCCGAGGGCCCTGACACTTAGGGCACAGTCTCCCTGGCCTTTCCCATGTCCCCTGGGTCCCATACCCCCTCTGCCTGGCTTCTCAGGCAGGCCCCGGCTGACGTGTAACCCGGGTCTTCCTCACATGTGATCCTTAGCCCCGTTTGGACTGCAAATCCCATGAGACCTGGGAGAACGTCTCGGTTGTTCACTCTGTAAGCTCCGTTGCCTGGCATGGTGCTGGGCCAGTGTGGGTATTCGAGAAACGTTCATGAAACGAATGAACAAATTGTTTCTCTACGCACAGCGGGTTGTACCTGCCCACTTTGCTGTGTCCAGCATTCTAACTGTACGTTTTTATGGGTCAGTGAACGCAGGCCTGGTGGCTGCGTGCCACCCTGCCACATCGATGCATCACAGCCGGCCTTGTGACCCCCTCAGCCTGTTTGGGTCTTTCACCCACCGCGGTGAGGAGCCTCCTATGGTGAGACACTGGCGTGGTGCTGTGTCCTAAGGCTAAGTCCCACAGCACGCCCTGTCCTAGGCTTTTGCTGCGTGTCTTCTAAGACTTCACGACGTGCCTTTGCAGGGAGAGCAAGGAACACGGGGGGAAAGCTGTGACTAGCGCGTTCTTTCATGGCCTTAGCGGACCAGGTCCAGAAAGATTCTGCAAGCTGGCGCAGGCACACGCCATGCCCACGTGGCTTTCCTGTTTCTCCACATTGCACTTGCTGGGCAGAGCCGGGCAGCACTGTCCACTCTGTGACAGCTCCTGCGGCTCCCACACCTGGCTGTTCCCCGTCCTAACCTGATTCTCTTCCCGCTCTGTCTTGCAGGGACATTACCCCTCCCGGAGAACAACTGAACAAGAACAGCCGGCCCAAAGCAGCTTCCCGCTTCCCCAAGCTGTCCCGAGGGCACCCCAGGGAGACGCGCAACGTGGAGCCCCAGAGCGGTGACCTCTGACCTTGATGGAACCCCAGACACGGGCCCTTTGTGGGGCACCAGCTGCCTCCACCCCGCCCACCTCAGAACGACGACCACACGTACCCAGTGAACCCCAGAGAGCACACCTGTCACACGACACCCCGATTAAACTGAGTCCCAGAGCTGCCGCGGTCCCTGTCCTCAGAGCAAGGTGGCGCCTCGCTGGACTGACTCGGACACGCGGTCAGTGTTCTCCCAGGCTCTGCCCTGGGCTCAGGGGCCGTTCGCTCTCCAGCTCAGGGGCCCGCAGCAGGGGGGGCGCCAGGCCGGGGCGGCGCCCCTGGTCGAGACGCACAACTGGCGCCGCACGCCAGACGGTTCCTTCGAAACCACCTCTTGACTCTTTCCCCCGTGGGAATCAGCACGACTGTTACTCTCTCTTTGCTTTTTCGTAACTGCCTGCACAGCCTGTGGCCGGGGACTGGTCCATTGCTCTCTGCAGCAACAAGCGATCACACGCCCGGCAGTGTCACCATCACAGCCCTCCAGGGAGACAGTCCCCAGGCCTTGCCCGGGAGCCGTCAGCGAGTTTAACTTTGGTTCCTAGAGAACTCCCCCTACCTCCCTGTGGCTGGCTTCATGAAGGACCGGTCGTCTAGGTCCACAGGCACCTTGCTAGGCGTGGTAGGGACCGGACATTGTACCCAGCTGTCAGTAGCAAACCCCGTGTTACCTGTCCTGAAATCATTGACCCTGGCCTACGGTCACGAGAGACTGGGTTCTGGGAACCGTTGCAGAAGGTCCCGTGGGTTTTCAGACCCAGCTCCACCTCTGCAACCTTGGACACGGCCTGTGGTCTGGCCAGATCACGTTCACCACCCCCCACCAAAGACGCACGTTTGTGCTGCCCTGCCCAAGCTCCCATGGGGACTGGAATCCCGCGTACCCCCGAGATGGATTTGTGTGTCCCGCCCGTCTCAGAGCCCGAGTGCCTGGACAGGCAGCACAGTGGCCCCTGAAGCTCCTTCTCCAAGACCCCGTCAGAGCCCCTCAAAGGACTGGGCCCGTTGGCTGGCTTCCCCCCCAGGGTCATCAGACTGTCTCCTACCCCCGCGTCAAGATCTGTCCTCGGATGTGTGTTATGAAGAGTTCGCATTTTCTGGGGACTATTAAGAAACAAGATAGGGCGTTGTGAATAGACTACTCGGGAGTAAGTCCTGTTGCACCTAGACCCGAGGCCATCGAGCTGCAGGGGGGCCTGCAGGTGGAGACACACGTCACAAGACGGACTCGGCCCAGGATTGCCCCAACTCACTGCTTAGCCACGCCCCAGGTGAGCGTGGGCCGTTTCCTAGCTAGAGAAAAACCAGACAGAATCACCTGGAAGGTTTATGCTGCACATTCCCCTTGTAGCCAGAAGGAAACCGATTCAGGGCAGTTAAGGAAAAAGCAGAGATAATTGACACACCACCCTCCAGCCAACCAGGTGGCCTGAATAACTTCTGAGGGGACCTTGAGCCAGGGAGCCACCATGCCCAGGTGAGGCAGGAGGAGCCACGTGGGGACACCCTGGCTCTTTGGAGTCAACGCCAAGTGCAGATCATCCCCTCAGATCTCGGCTCAGACGCACACGTGACAGGCACACGTCAGCAACTCCCCAAAGCCTTAACCCTGGAGTCACACAGACTGCTCCGCAATGGTTTAGTCCGTCCTGCTGCTCAACATGCTCCCGGCCTGCCCGCTGGTGTGGCAGGAGGGACCTCCCGGTTCCTGGAGGAAGGAGGCAGAAACGCCTGGGTCCACACCAAGGTCAAGGCTGGGACCTGGTGCCCAAACCACCACCCGCTAGAGACGCGTCATCCTCTGCCACTCCGCCCCGGGACCTCTCAGTGGAAAGGACCCGGTGTACCCCACTTGATCAAAGAAGATGATTCTTTGGGACCTGCAGTGTTAATATTTGAGAAAGGACCCCCCATTCAGAAGGAAACCCAAGGGGCCGGCTTCTCCCTGGAGGCCTCGTCCATCTAGGCCCCTAGACGGGGGGAGGAGCCAGTCTGGGTCCTTTCACCCTGGTCTCTTCGTGGCCAGACAGAATGTCACCAGTTTTGTCCTTTGCCATCGGCTCATTTCTTTCTTCTCCCCCAGATGAAACAGGGCTTAGGAAAGGTGGGGCCGGGCAGCCGTCTCCTTGGATAAGACCTAAAGCTTCCAGGCAGGAAGGTCAAGGATGTCATAAACCACCGGGCCTGGGGGCAGAGCTGCGCAGCCGTCCTGCCAGCTCCTCCGACTGTCACTCGTGGGCACACGCCAATCAGGTGACCCGTGAGCAAGGGCAGAAGGCGGAGCTGGCTTCACAGCACCTGCTGTGGGCCCTGGGGGAGGAGGAAGCTTTCCCAGAAAAGGCTGTCGCAGCCCACGGTGGCAGCCAGCTTAACATCCGCCAACCAGCCCAGCCCAGGGCCTCCTGGTCACCGAGGGACCACCGGCTGGGGTGTAAAGAGGACACCACCTCCTAAGACCCAGGAAGCGGCGTGGATTGCCAGGGGAGGGTGTGGACCGGCTCCCATCACAGCCCTCGGCTCGGCCTCGTGCCCTGGCGCTTATTGCGGTGAAGCCCCTGATAACCACTGAGTTTCTAGAGGAGTGGCAGATCGCGCGTAGTGCCCTGAAACCAGATGCAATCGAAAGCTGTGTGTCCCGTGCCGGCCCATTGATTACACAGCTGTCACCGATGCCAACATACCACAGGCACTGGAGGCCCAGCGATCACCCCCAAGGGTTTGGGCCCAGAGTCGGAAACACAGTGATGCCCCACCCAGTCCACCCAGTTGGCGAGACGCAGCACGGCCTTCCGCGGAAGGCTTCTCTCCTCACCCCCGAGGACCGGGTCTGGGCCTCCCTGCCCCACCTGCTCACGCCCCCACGGGGGTGCAGCTCCCTCTGTGCTGCCCGGAACCTTCCTTCCGGCCTGTCCTTCCTCGGCCAGGCTCCTCTGTGTGGGCACCTTGGCACGTAACTAATGGCAAAGAGAGGGCTGGATTTTAAGCTCCCAGGACCTGCCGGAGGAAGACCCAACCAAGCCCCCCCCAACCCTAGCACATCACACGGGCTAGGACGCATCCCAGAAGGGGCGGCCTCAGCCCGGGTTTCAACCCCAAAGGCAGTACGTGTCTGACTCTCCCTCGGTGTTTCACTCGGGGCGGCGCCAGGCAGCCGGGACCCTCCCCCCAGCCCGGCAGCCCCGGGCTAGCTGTGGCAGGCCTGCCTCTGAGCAAGGTCTAGCGCAACCAACTCTTCACAATATTGTGCGTTATTCCATTAAAGCTACCGTTAAATATTTGCTGTTCAGATTGGCTTCCGTGCTAATTTTGCACAATTGTAGCACTGTATATTTTATCTAACATTTCTGTGCCAAAAAGTTCATTTTAATGTTTCTGTAATACATGGCCTTGATTACGTTTCTAAAATAGAGCCTCGGCTCCTGGATGGAGAGGAACTCCGGCGTGGCGGCGAGGGTCCCGCAGGGCCTGGCTCCCTGGAGTGTCTCTCACTTTGGCCGTGAGCCACTGCCACGGGCGGGCCTGATTTTGGTAGCTCTGAATTGTCACCGAGCCCTTTTGTCCCTAAAGCTTAACCACCAAATTGAATGGGCTTCCTTACACCTATTCTCCGCAGAAAAGGAAACAAAACCAAAAAATCCCCACAACTTTCCTAAAAGACGGTTGACCTTGTGGCACAGACGGGCGTCCCCACTAGAAGGCGCTAGATTTGTTGGCGTTCTGAGGTCCTGTTCATACGTCCTAGCTGGAAAGCCACTGGCTGCCTCACCCCGGCCACCACCGTCCCCTCGAACGTGCTCAGCTCTGCCTCCTGCCCCCGTGACCTGCCCCGCACTCGCCTTTCAGGGTTCTTTTCACCGTCGGGACGGTGGGTGCCCCGCGAAACCTGGGGCTGAGGACACAGGACACACGGATTGCACGTCTGCGACCAGAGCGACCAGGAACTCAGATGAGCTCAGAGACCACGAATTTCGAGGAGGAAGCGGGGTGGGGGGGGCAGCTAGCTGGGAGTTTTGTTCTCGAGGGTGTAAATAGAGTCCGCAGGTGCGCCCCGACGTGTATAGTGTTATGTCAACTGCCCTCTTACGTTACAGTTTACACGATAGGATTTTTAAACAAATGTGTTTAATTTTCTAAGATCTCTTGTATTAAAATTTTCTTTTGGAATAAGCTGTGGTAATTTTGTTACAATCTGGTTGAGACAAACCTCTTTACATTGACAAAATAAAACTGGTGACATTTTATAAATTAGATACTCGGGTTATGGTCTCTGTCTCCGCTTTTCCCCAACAACTGGGGACTTTGGTGAACTCTTGGCTCTCAAGGATGAGAAGGAAACACTGCACTGCCCCCTCCTCAAATAGTCTGTATCAGCTCAAAGCCCTTTACCATACAGTTAGGGATTTCACACTTGCACCCTAATCACGCCGACCGAGGAGAGAGGGGTTCTCGGGGTCAGAAGACCCGGGCACGAGGAGGGCTCTCCCAGGGCCCCGTGAAGGCTGTGGCTGCAGGCAGGTCCCCGAGCCAGTGCCAGGCAAGGCCACTGCTGGGCTGACCGAGCTGGAGGGGCGCAGGGCAAATGCTGGCTCACGAGGGGCTGTGGCGTGGGCACCGTGCCAGGCACCCCACAGCCTCCTGCTTGTTTAATGCTTACGGCAACCCAGCGAGGCAGGCACCCGCCTTGGGTTTGAAGGGTCGAGCACACTAAGCACCCACGGAGTGCTGGCCTGCCCAAGGTCACCCAGCTTGAAGGCTGAGGAGCAGCGTGGGGGGGACTGTTTCCGTCTTGCCCACAGCCTGGAGTTTCTCATCCTCACCCCCATCTGCCCCAAGCCCCTGGCCACCTCATCCTCCAACTTCCAACACACAGCAAGCAGGCTCCCCCACGTGCTCGGCTCCCAGCGAGGTCCCAGCGTCCCGGCCAGTTCCAGGCGTGGTTGCCTCCCAAGGACAGAACTCCCTCGCAGCCTCCCAAGTGGGGCTGTCCTTCCCTCCCTGCCCCCGTCCTAGTCCGCCTAGCGTTGCTGTACAGGGAGACCTGAGGCCCGGCAAGTCATTAGGCAAAGAGGCTTATTTAAGTTCATGGTTCTGCAAGACCTGCGACCTTTTCTCCCTTACCCTGAACTCACACGTCCTTGCCAGCGCCTCTTCCCCAGCCTCGGTCCCATGGGCCGTGACGATCATCCATTGCTCCCTTCCAGACACCCCGTCTCCTCTGTGCTCCCCCACCAACTTGCCTGGTGAAAGCCCAGCCCCAGCCAAGCCCGTGACTCTCCGCTCGCACCCCAGCTGTCACACGGCACAGAAGCTTCCAGAAGCACACTCCAAGGGCCGAGCGTGCGCTGGTTCTCCTGCCACCCCCTTGGTCACACTGCCTGGACCACACGCACGTTCCTTGCCTCTGAATGTCGAGGGGCCTCGGGCACAGGCCTCCCTGTTCCCATCCTAGGGGACCCCACATGCCACCTGCACCAGCGCTGTCCAACAAACGTCATATGAGCCACATGTCACTTAAAGTTTCCTAGTATCCCCATTAAAAATGTAAAAACATGCGAGTAAAAATGCTAAGAGTATGCTTTATTTAACCCCATACATCTAAGATGTTATTTTAATATTCAAGGCTTATTTTAAAAACTTAGAGATATTTTGCATTTTGGGGTACTAAGTCTGCAACACCTGGTGTGTGTTTTACACTTAGAGCACGTCTCAACTGGGACCAGCGCATGTCGAGTGCGCAGTAGCCCCCACGGCCGGCGGCTCCCGTGCTGGGCAGCGCAGCTCTGCGGACGGACGACCCCAGTCCCGGGCGTCAGCCTCGCGCCCCGCTGCCCAACCAGCGCCTCCATCCGCACGGCCTAGCGAGCACCCCAGACGGCACCGGCAAGCCCCAGAACCGCCCCTGCTCCTGGCTGGGGAAAGCTGCGGAGACCCCTGCCCCTGGCTGGGGAAAGCTGTGGAGACCCTCGGCCCTGGGCTCTCCCCACTTCCCGTTCCCATCTAGTCGGCAGCGACCACCCCGGCTCCACCTTGGCGACAGCTCTCGCACCTGACCCCGTCCCCGCTGCGTCCCAAGCCTCGCTGTCTCCCAGGTTGAGCACCGGGGAAGCCTTGCCACCCTCCCGCCTCCCCGTTCCATGGCCCCACCGTTCATCTGTCCCCCGTGCACACGCAGGTGACCCGTAGCATCAGTCTGTGTCACTACCTTGATCACAGCCCTCCCGCTGCGCCTCTCCCGGTCCGCTCTCCCCACGGCAGACGGTCTTTAAAGAAGTGGAGACGGTAAGTGTGATCTCATCACTCCCTTGCGTCAAGGCTCCTGAGCAATCCAGACCCCATCGAGGGGGGACATGGTACCATCGGCGCCCCATGACGGTGGCCCCCAGACCCGTCTGCACGCTGGAGCCACCTGGGGTGCCCCAGGCGACCCAGGCCTCACACCCCCAGGGAGCCTGTGGGACTGGTGAGCTCCTGTCCCTGGAGCCGTGTGGTCAGCACAGTGGTCCTGCTGCCGACGCCTGGGCTCCAGCAACCTCCCTGCCATCCTCCGTTCTGCTGTCACTTCCCCAGAGCACACGTCACCTCTGGACACCTTGTAGCTTTGTTTGTGTGCCCCCCCACACCAGGACTTAAGCCCCAGAGGGCAGAACCTGAGTTTTGTTCGCAGCCAAGTCGCAGCCTGTGCACAGCCACACGGTAGGTGCTCAGCAAATGCTAAACAGGTCGAGAAGAACATGTTTTACCTTATTTAATGTCCTAAACCCCTGGCCTCACCTCTGCCTTCCCGTGACACCCGACTCACCCCAACCCCCGAGGTCCCGTGGCCATGGGGAAGGGAACAGCTCAGCTGAGATGCACCTTTTCCAGAAAAAAAATGTATTTTTATTTCACGATGTCATCTCGTCAATGTCCTATCTGCCACATCATGTGTCCACTTGCTGTGTCTTCCTGCCGTGTCCTTACCCCCGCCTTGTCCTAAGCAACGATATTTACACGGAGACCAAGAACACAGAGAGCCGATCAGGGAGTCATGGGAAAGTGAAGCGATGCACCCATAGACGTACCATTTGCACGGATTTTTGGATTTGTGCATCTCCAAGTAGCCTGACGAGCTGTCACCCTGGGACAGACGCTAGCTGGGCCTGCAGCTCAGAGGCCACCTCCTGCCTTGGGAGCAACCCCACTCGAGGGGAAGCGTTAGGTGCAGACATCCACTGAATGCCGAGGAGACTCCAGGCCTGCTGTGGGGTCATTTGCACGAATGACTCCTTACCACAGTCCTGTAAGGCAGGCGCTGTGACCGTCCCCTCCTCTCAGATGGACAAACCCAGGTGTGGGAGGATTAAATACACAGCAGCAAGGGGCCACCGCAGAGTCCAGGGATCTCTGCAGAACTTCACAGATTTTCCAAACACAGAGGGAGGGGTAGGGAGATGGGGGGAGGCAGAGAGAGACAGAGACACGCCTCTGGCCAGAAAGGGGTCTCCCCCTGCTCCCACGGGGGACAGGTCCCCATGCAGTAGGCCAGAAGCACCAGAGCAGGTTCAGCAGGTGCGTTAAGTTCAATGTTCTTGTATGCATTGAATGGACAGAAGATGGGAGGGGAGGTGCCACGTAGAACCATGTGGTCCCTCCCACGTCCTCCTGTGCCTTCTACCCTCTCTCTTCATACTGACCCAAACCTACTTTTGCACATATCTTGTGCCTTTTTCCCTTTCCCTGCTCTTCTTCCTGTGACTCCAGCATGCCAGGCCCGTGCCTACCCCAGTCCCTTTGCACACACCGGTTCCCCTGCCTGGGTTGTTCTTCCTGCCTGACTCATCGAGAGGGCCCGACTTCAAGGTCACTTTCCCAGAGAAGCCTTCCCTCCCCTCCTCGGCTACCAGCACGCCCCTCTCCAGCCTCTTAGACCCTGGACAGGATTTTTAAGCTCGCTCATGTAACAGGGATGGCCGCTTCAAGACTTGGCTCCAGAGGGAAGGGACCACGCAGGCTTTAGTCACTTTACTCAGCAATGCTGCAGCAGAAAAGATGCCCAGGACATATCTCTGTTCAGTGAATGAGCAATTAAGTGAATGAATAAATGATCACTTGTCTTTGGGGCTTTTCTTCCATCGCTTTTGGTTAAAAGGCCCAATTATCCTACCTCCACCCACAGGATTTCTCTCACAGGCTGGCCACGAAGATGCGGATTAGACTGTTGGCCCCGCGGGCTCAGGCTCTGACTCGTGTCAGCGATCGCTGCAGCCAGCTCTGCCCGGCCCCAAGCAGGCGCTGCCTGGAGGAGGCGACCGACATGCGGGTCTCTCAGCCTCATTTCAAGTCCCTGCTCAGGTGCTGCAAACCCCAAACCAGGGGATGGGGATGCACCCGGGCCCCAAAGCACCCTGGGGTCACGAGACCTCAGGTCACCCTCATCCCAGACACCGTCTCCCAAGACAAATTTGCTGGCAGCAGGAAGCTTCCAGAATGCCCGTCTCCCGCGCCGGGGAAGCCCGTGTCCGTGTGGAAGGGCTCTCTCGGCAAGTCCCTTTTGTGGTTACCTAACCCTGGTAAGAAGAAGAAGAAAAGCAAAATCTCGATGGGCCTGAGGCTTGAAATTTCTAATGCTGAGGACTGTAACAGCTTTTCCATCCTCCGGAAAGCAGAAGCGTCCCCTGTCCTGCTCGAGATGAATTAGGTGAATTAGAGCAGGCTGCTCTGTCGAGGTACATGAACACACGGAAATGGTTTTGATTTCGCTACGCAGCGCAGCGGCAATGTCTGAATCTACCTTTTTTCTTTTTTTTTAGCCGTTGTTACTGCGAGAGGGTTCTCACGTGCCGCGGCTCTGCGCTCCGCTCCTTTGTTTTGAAGCCTCCTGATTTCAAGGCTCAGGGTTGGCTGCTCAGCCTCCGCTCTCGGCCTCTATCCCCCAGACAACTTACCCATCGCCCTGAAACCGTCCCCGCCCTGCGACTCCCCAGCTCACAGAGCCACAGACTCGGCACCTCCAATAGAGCCGGAGCCACCCCGAGACGGGACCCGCCACCTGCTTCAGTCCCTTCTTGGCCAGGCCACCTCCGCCCGGCCCTTCAAACTCAGACTTGAGTCCCACGTGGCTTTTCTTCCACCGCCCGCTTCCCACGACACCCGGTACGTCAGCGAGCCCTGCCGGGCCACCCAGGACCTCCGAACATTACCTTCTTTGGACACAGAGTCTTTGCAGATGCAGTTAAACTAAGACGTGGTCACACTAGGTCAAAGCAGGC